AAAATATATATTTTTTAGTATTTTTTTTATAGAATTAAAAATAATATTTTAATAATAATATATTTATAATTAAATAACATAGCAAAAGAAAATTAGTATAAATAAAAGGCAGCAAAAAGACAAAAAAAAAAAAGAAGTAATGATTCAATAAAAGGTAGGGATGTTATTGTTTCTCAAAGATGATGGTCTATATACTAGGCATGAGAATGAGCCTCGATCCGTCGGGAAACTCGGTCCATCTGCTCTAGTTGGGGACGGGGATTTCCCACTATATCGGGGATGGGGATGGGGACGGGGACATGGATCCCCGTTTGTCTCAAATCGGGGATGGGGACGGGGACGGGGACGGGTATGGTACTCTCTGTCCCGCCCCTGTTATACATACATGTATATTAATTAATAAATATTATAAACGCACACACATATATATGTGTATATTGTTTATTTCAACTAAAACGGTAATTCATAATTTTCTATTTCCTAGGTTTATAATCTAAAATTGTTATTTTTTGGATGTTAATATGTAATATTTGGATGTCAAGTCAAAATACCATTATTCGATAAGTTTTGTATATTACTCGATATGGTTTTATTACTCAATATCTTTTGGTACATGTGACTTTAAATAGTTTTGGATTAAATTGATTTTTTTTAGGTTATTAGTTCTTAAATGATGTTGTGGTTTTTTTATATTAAATTAAATTCATTTTTGTTTTAGGTTTATTGAAAATGTTTGAGATTTAAACATGTATGATTTCTCACATATTTAATTCAAAATAACTTATATAAACGGAAAAAAAAAATCTCCGTTTTCCCGTTGGGGATCCCCGTTCCCCGTTAGGGATGGAGATGGGGATATGATTATAATCCCCAGTGAGGATGAGAACGGAACGGGAATAGAGATAAGCAATGGAGATTGAAGTCCTCGTCCCATTTTCATGCCTAGTATGTACAAGGGATCATGGCTTTATTGAAGCGACACATGCCACGAGAGAATAACTTAAAGGATATTTTTGCCCTCAATAAATAATTTATATGACGCTTTTACCCCCACATTGGCACCAAGGTTTTTCAGTTGGTTGAAATTTGATATAAATGATGGTTGACTATGTATGTATTATTTCTTTTGTTAAAATCGGATTATTTCAAGGTTTGTATTTAGGGCTTCTTTAAAAATATTATAAAATTACAATATAAATTATATTATTAAAAAAATATAAAATATTTTATAAAATATATTTTTTTCGTTAAAAAGTAATTTTTAGAGAATTTCATCTTTTTCTCATATTTTTTCTATTTTAAAAAAATCTGTTTTTAAAGAATCTAGATGTCAATATATTGACTAGGGGTGTTCACGGCCCGGGTTGATCGGTTTGGAGTCGTTTTAACAACCCAACCCAATGTTGACGGTTTAAAAAATTTCAACCCAACCCAACCTAACCCGTTCGGGTTGATCGGGTTTTTGATCACCCCTACATGGAAGGGTACAAAACAAATTACTAACTGCGAATAGTAAATATAATTAGTAATTATAAGCATCCAAGTTTCCACAGTTTTTGAAGATTAAACAGGGAATGGATGTTTGTAAGGTTAGAAATCCTAGCTTCATTACTCTACACACAAAAATGTTCTCTAATCTGTGTGAAACATCGTTTTCCGTTGATGCGCAACAAGTCATGCTCCGAACATTTTGTTGGTTAGTCATCGAACATGAAGGGAAAGAGACGCTGTTGAAGTTCCTGTATGCTCCAAACCGAAGTAGAGAACTTCGGTTGGAACAAAAGGCTGAAGTAAAACCAACTTGATGGCTGGGACAGTTGTGAAGAAAGCTGCTTGGGCTCAGCATCCTTGTCACAACACAGTAGCAGAAGGTAAGTTTCCATCTCTAGTCAAAATATTTAAAGCATTCCCTTCACCCTCAAGATCATGTTTCCTTTTAGGGGGTCTTCAACAAGAAATGCAATGTTCGCTTTCTTGGGAACCTTTAAGCAAAGTTGGCCATTTCCCCATATCAATCATTACAAGAGTAGTTATGTTCAATTTTTTTCACAAAATTTTACTTTTTGTTTGATCATAGGAGTTCTATCTCTGGGAATCAAGGGCTTTTGACTAGTAGTTAATAACTTTTCACATGCTTGGAGGGCTAAACTTTGCATTTCTTGTGAGTCAGAGGAAGTATACATATATAAATCAAAGTAAACATTACTTACAAATACATAAATATGAAAATATCCAACAATTTATGAACTGAATGTTCTTAAAAGATCCTCAAACGCCTGTAACAATGTGACAACAAGATTTAATAACTATCCCTGAACCCAAACATAACACAGAATTATGTAATAAAATGTGACAATTTCTRAACTAAATTTTGTTTTGTGGTTACTTCCGGAACAACATTCCAAAGAGGCTTTCGAATTAAACAGTAAAATCACCATTCTGGCTTTTGAAAACAGAATCTACAAGGAAGCTTATATATGACCACCAGAAAAGACGAATAACTATTAACATGTAACACCATAYTAAATGTTAATTATAAGGATCTCGTTCCCAAACTAAATTTAACCTAAAAATCTGAAACCAACCCCATTTAAAACAATGCATGTTCACCAGAACTAGTCCATCTCCCATAACTTTTTAAAAGAATGCCCGCATAAACTCTAAATCGTCTGGAAAACAAAAAATGGAATGAAGAACGTAGTATAAACTCTGAATACACAGAAAACATGTGCAATCAAACTTCTCAAAATCCTTCCTTTATAAAATCAGCTATCYAGTCCAAAGTACAAAAGGAGGCAAGGAGCAGACAGCAGAGCATCTAGGTTAAACAAGAGGGTTCCCCATTCGTTGTGTTACCTTATCTGTGTAAATCGAAGGATGGCTCAACCACTCAAGGATGTAAATCGATGTTTCAAACTCGAAGGCTATGTCGCAACTCGCAAGGCTGTGTCGATGTATCGCAACTCACACACACAACTCGCTTCTTGGCCGCTGCTACTCGAGTGTGTTGCTCTCGGCCTCTCGCAGTCTCGCTTGCTGGCCGAACCGCCGAGGCGCCGAAGGCTGTCAATCGATCCGCTGGCCGCTGCTACTCGACTGTATTAGGGATTCAGTGTATTGTGTTTGTGTTTGATTTGAGTTTAGGAAGGAGCAGAGCATCTAGGTTAAACAAGAGGTCCCGGTTCCCGTGTGTTTTGTTGTTTCCCATCGGGTCATCGGGTTGGGTCGGTTTTCATTGGGCCTAAACCAATTTCAATCCAATAGAGTCAGGTTACTTAACTTTTTAATCAATCAACCTTCGGGTTACCTTGGGTTAGTTTTTTTTTTTTTAAATCGGGTTGGATTGATCGGGTTCATCGGGTTTTTGAGCACCCCTAATATTGACATAAGATTGTACAATTTTTTTTATTTTAGAGGGTAGGGATAGGCACTATGCTACAGCATGTGTGTAATATAACGTAATACATTTGTATTTTAGATCTTTCAAGTTTATTTTATGAATTTGTATGTTTTAAAGAATCAAGGAAAATGAGAAAGACAATCTAGTTCTATGAAAACCGACCAATAGCAGTTTATTTAGAGGTTTGATTTGGGATTTTATTTAGTTTGGTTATGTTTAGCAAACTAGTTGATGGTTAATAAGTTAGCTGATGAACAAATTATGTTTGACAAAAACTAGCTTATAAGCATGTAAAATTACCAAAATAATGTCTTGAAAAAATAGTCAATTTATAATATTTTATAATATAATTCAAATAAATTTCTAATAAAATAAATTTCTAAAACAAGATAGTAAAGAAAATTTAAATAATATAATATGTTAATTGAAAGAATTTAAAATTGATTAGTATATATATACTATAAATTTTGTATTTGTTAAAACAAATTTTAGAGAGAAAAAAAACCTACCTTAATCAATGATTTTAAATAATCATTATATATAATACTAGTTGTGTACACACGCAATGCGGCGGGAGCCATGAATTTTAACGATTTTGAAGTTCAACTGGTTTTATAAGATAAGATTTAACGATGATATATGTTACACTTGGTCTTTACATATTAATACAATTTGAATAAATAAGAGTTATGGTTCCAATTACAGACTATCGATGAAAAAAATTGTATGACA